CAATACGCTATGTGCTTTGGAAGGCTAGTGAAAACAGGTGTGTTTTTAGCTGCTTTTTAAAGATATCCATCGAGTCCAGGGAGTGCAGGGACAGGGGGAGTTCATTCCAGAGACGGGGTGCCACCGCTTTAAAGGACCGGTCTCCTCGGGTTTTAAAACGGGTCCGAGGAACCATAAGCAGGTTTTGACCTGAAGACCTTAGGCTACGGACCGACGTATACGGCTGGATCAGACCTGTCATGTAGCCAGGCGCCTGTCCATGAAGGGCCTTGAAGGTTAGGACCAGGATTTTAAACTTTATCCTGGAAGCAACAGGAAGCCAATGTAGGGACTTCAGGAGAGGATTAACATCCGCTGTCCTATTTGTACAGATCAGGAGCAGCAGAGTTCTGGACAATTTGTAGGCGACCAAGCTCCTTCTTGCTCAGACAGGTAAACAGGCTGTTACAGTAATCCAGTCTTGCAGAAACGAAGGCATGGATGATTCTCTCCAAATCATCGTGAGAGAGGATTTTCCTTACCTTGGAGATATTGCGCAGATGGAAGTAATTGGCTCGTTACTTTAGTTTTGAATCATTTCAATGGAGTTACCGTTATTATTTTTCACATCATCAATACCAAATTCAATCTAATTGGATGGGAATCTACGTTGCATTTGACGCACCACTACAAGATGAATCAACAGATTTGGCGGTATTCATTGGCGGCAAATCATTGCAGCTTGGTGGCGGTGGCGTTAGCATAGTAGCATGGACGACGAGATGATTGAAAATGAACACAACGGAGATCTAGTCCTATTGGCAGACATCCATTTAAAATGTAGGCAACGGCATGAAAAAAGTGGTTTCTACTTTTACTTTTATACTTTAAGTAAATTTACAAGCCTGTACTTTGTTACTTTTACTTGAGTAAAGAAGTTTAATCAGTACTTCCACTTTTACCAGAGTATTTTTCAACACAAGTATCTGTACTTTTACTCAAGTACGGAAAGTGAGTACTTTTGCCATCTCTGACAGTGAGAGATAGGGAGTTACCAGAGTCTCCATTAACACGCCGGCGGGAGGGGGGCGTCTAATGACAACTGCATTAAGTTGGCATCACTGGCCGTTGGTCTACTGTTAAAGCAGTTGTTTACTGATGAAATTTAGAGCTCTTCATGTTTCTCTCTGATGATACACTTTGTAGATGTACTGATTTCATTTTAGTTAGACCAGTTTGCTCCTCCACAAACTGCCAAAGATACCAGCAGCTGCTTTAATTACCATGAAATCACTGCGCTCAACTGGTCATCAAACTTACCTGATCTTAAAACCCATTTTTCTCTTTGAGGCTCAAAAATCAAACTCCTACTGATAGACTGAGGCCATCTGGGTTTAAGAGCAAAACTTCACAATACATGAGAATACTTTACACCAGAGGGACACTTCTGAGTCTTTGTTGATAATATATAATTATCAGAAGATGTTTCAGAAGTTATTGACATGCAGGTATATCTTCTTTTTGTGTTTTTGTTTTTTTTTTACAATTTTTGTACAAATTTCACTTCATTTTCACTTTATTTTTTAGCAAATAATCCAACATTAAACAACAAAACAACAATATCAAAACCAACAATTTACCAAAAAAAAGGAATAGGCTGAAGCAAAGCTTATTATTGCCTACCCTGTTTTATATTTACAACCTTTACAACCTACAGGTTCTTTACTGCGTATATAAATATTCAAATCTACATTTTGAAATTCACCAAGAAAGGACATAACTTTAAATCATCATTCAATTCATTCCACATTTTCACACCAATAACTGAAACACATCTAGACTTTATCTGGCTCCTCTCTTTTGCACATTTAAATATAAACAAACCTCGCAAATTATATTTATTCTCTCTTAACTTAAATAATTTCTGAATACCAGAAGGAAGACTTTTGTTCACTGCTTTATGCATTATTTTCAGTATTTTTATATAAACAATGTGTTGCTTTGAATGAAGAGTTTATCAGTTGGTTCACAGTATCTTCAGTTAATCTTAGAATTAGCTAAGTACAGCCTAAGAATAAGTCCTTTTAGGATAACTACGACACATTTAGTTATTTTCTTGTTAACACTGTTAGCTTTGCTATCAAAGTAACTCCATGTCCGGCTCCGTTCACGCTGCTCTTTGCAGGTAGAAACCATAGCCCTGTTTGAGCTTCAGCGGAAGCTTGACTTTGTGCTGTGGGAATGAACACATACTGCTGTGCAGCTGCTCATGCATTGAAATGAAAACCTCCTTGCCTCTTTCAGTCCTCCTTCCTGTGTTACTGCCCTGCAAACCGCTCCCTGCTTTGCCATGATATCCTCTCTCTTCCTGTTTTGACCCCTCTGCTCTTCACCAGAACACTTTTTTCCCCTCATTAATGCATTCCCCTGTAACTCCACTCTCCATCAGAGCCACCCCAGCTGAGTGTAATGAGGGAACATGATTGTTGATGTCTTAATGAAGGCACTCTCCTGGAGTGTCAGCTTTCTGTGTCTGTGCTCCCACAGCACTCTGCTGTTACCACTGAGGCTGCTCCTGCGCCTGAACCTGCCATCATCAAACCTGGATGCCAAATAAAGTGGTGCACCTCCAATAAAATGTTTAACTGAGTTAATCACAGAGCGTAATTAATTCATTAATCACAATTAATAGCATTTTAATTGAAAATCATGTGCTCTATAAATATAATTGCCTTAAACAATATATTAACATTCATTATAGCACAATTTCTTCCACTGAATGTGGTAAAAACTAATAGCACCAAGACTATTATGCCTTTAAGGATTTAACTTTTGCTGTAAACAAAGGTTAAAGTAACATTTCTAAAACAGACAGAACTATAAACTACATATAATCAGTTGAAGCTTCTCGAGGTGCAAAAACATAAAGCTCTAAAACATCTAATTTGCTTTATTGCTCTTTTTTTATGAACCAGAAACAATCCCATCTACATGAATATGTTGCCGCTCACATGTCCCATCAAACACACCAGAATGGTGCAGATTAGTACTGAACGTTTGCAGATGTGTAATTAATGTGTAATTATAATCAAACATCTATTTCATAGCTGAACCTCCAGATGTATTTAAAGTTCTGAAAACATAAACACTTTCATTATTTTTCATAACTCTAGATCATAAAAACAGTTAGCATAAATTCTTTGACTATTAACTAGTTACTTTGATTGTGCAGTAACTCAGTTAATAACTATAACTTTTAGGTAACATTCCCTAACAGTCACTATCACTTGTATCAGTAATAATTAGGTTGTTAGGTACTCTGGTATCCATCAATTCCATCAATTCTGCAGAACTTCTGAACACCTTGGCTGCAGATATAATGTACCCTTTAAAATAGATATTATATTATAACCAAAACACTGAAAACAACTATTGGTGAACGGGTTATTAACCTGTTTTACCTCTGGGCAGGTGCTTGTGTTTGCCTCGGCTGTTGCAGTAACAGAATGGCATGACTTCCAACGTTTTAAATGTTTGCACAGAAAACAAGCAGATGTATTTACTTGTAATATAGGTTAGCTTCAAGCTTAGCAACACTGCCTGTCAGGAGGTCATTAGGAGGCCCATGTTTACTTTGTGTTTAACCTTTCTGTCATTTTATCACCTGAGAATTATGGAGCAAAAGGAAAAATGTAAGGGTTTGAATTTCGATCTGGGTGGGAATAATGGAAATACGGTACAATATGTGTCTTATTCAATTCAATTCAGTTTATTTCTATAGCGCCAATTCACATCATGTCATCTCAAGGCACTTTACAGTTCAACCAGATCATCCAGTCAGATTGATTCAAAGTTTTCTATCTAAGGAAAACCAGCTGATTGCATCGACTCATTGAGTCAAATACAATCCATCACACTAAACATGCTTGTAGCGACAGTGGAGAGGAAAAACTCCCTTTTAACAGGAAGAAACTTCCAGCAGAACCAGGCTCAGATGGCCGCTCACACTGCCATCTGTTGTGCCACCTCATAGAAATCTCCACAAATAGATTCAGAGGCAGATACATTGAATGTCCCATAAAATGAATAATAATAGCTGTCATCCACTGTACAAAAAAATAGATTAAAACAGATATATTAAGATAGGAATCAAAACTTAACTGAAGATGCAATTTGAAATAACAAGCAGAAGGAATTCTCCATTCTATCTGGGTATTAAATGCAAACTAAAGTAAAAACAAAGAGAACTGGTTAAGTATTATAAAGTGCTTTTTTTATTTAGCACATGAGGTCTCAAAAGTAATTTAGCAAGTAATCCTTTGAAATCTGCACTAGCAGCCTGTAAATCCTCCCATCATAAATGTCAGTTTTTGAGGATAACTTCAAACATATGGTTGAAGCAGATTGGCTGTGCTGAACAAAGGATTGTGGGTCAACTGCAGCAGACTTAAACCTAAACGTGGACGTAGACCTCTGAATAGTCTGTCTGATTAGTGATTGCATCATTAACGGCTGTTTTTCTGCTGATTCAGCAAAGATGTCCTTATGGTGAACAAATTGCAGATCATGTATTGATGGAATAGGTGGTGCTCAGATGAGGTTAGAAACTGAAAATTCGAAAAACCTGTGAGATGGAGGCAGGTAGAGATTTTGTCTCCGATAGAGCAAATAAAGAAGGTCTGAGTCAGATTTGTATCACCTAAACTTTTGTTTAAAAAATGTCCTGGTTTATTGGTTTTCTGGTCAAGTGGAACCCATAAACATGTTGACCGTGCCTAGTCTGAGCTGCAGTGGACCCTGATGCTGCAGCTGCCATGTGGGCTGGTTCCTGGATGCCTTTTCTTCAAGTTAAAACAATGTTCCAATGACTTTAACCTCCCAAACTCTCCTTACTTCCCCCTAGGGATCAGGGGGAGGGGTTAGAGCCTTGGATACCACCAGATGTGGCTCATAAAACTGGGGTTTACTGTCGGTTTTATGTGGGAAAACTTGCTTAAATACTGTTTGTTTCTCACTGATAGGCGGCAGAGTCAAAACGTGGAAGAGAAGATGGTTTATCCTGACTGACAACTGCCTCTATTACTTTGAGTACACGACAGTAAGTACCACAAAACACTCATCAGCAGTTAAAGAGCAGCATTTTTAAAATGCTTCTTTATTGTTTCCAGGCTTTTATCTTAAAATAGTTAAATTGATTCATATGTCTGAAATCAAGAAATGTGTAAAAAAAAAGTGTTAAAAGTAAGGCACTTGTAGTCACATTAGGAATAAATAACTCAACATTCACCATTATAAAAGTAGCAATGGTAAAATCTCCAATATGATTTAATTAACTGAAGGTTTATGCAGTGATTTGTTCCTCTGATTTAATTTTCCGCAGGGCATAATGAGTGCCTCTAATATAAAGTTAGCTGTAAAGGACTTTGCTTCTGAATGGCATCAATATAATATTAAAATAGCTAAACAGAAAGGCAAACAGGAAATACAAACATTGTAAAGATAAAAAGAATGATAAGTTAGGTCAGATTAAGAACCATGTCTTTGCTCAACATCTGCATGATCATTGCTTCAGTGAGTTATGCTAAAGTTTTCAAACTCAAACTTGACCAAAGACTGGACAAAGTTTGAGAAGCAAATAAAGCAAATCTAATTTCTTAGTCACAGATGTAAAGAAATTGGCACAAGTCTTTGGCCTCCGGGTTTACTATTAAACAGATGTTTCTCTTTGGAACCAAATGAGCCACACTCTTCCAATTAACATGAGGCATAATTTAAAACATCTGCAAAATCCACAGCAACACATCTGGCACTGCAAGGATGTAACCCCCCCCTTAAAACCCCACCACCTGGAATACACTAGAGCCTGTATAGGTTCTGAGGATCACACCAAACCTGCTGGGAGCTTTTGTCCAGGACATGTTTTCTACTCCTGCTGCCTTTCTCCATGTGTACACAGCTCTGCTACTCTGTAGATCAGTATTAGTATTACTTTATTATTTTCCTTTTAGAGAAATGGCGTAAAACATAAACAGAATCACTCTGCAACAGTTGTAAAAACAAAAAAGACAAGTAAGCAACAGCGGATGAACATGGAGCAAAAGGTTAACTCTCCCCCGGGGGTTATTTCCCCTATGTGGCTAGGAAGAATGTAAACCTTCAGCATGTTTTCAGTTAACATTTTTTTGTTCACTCAGATACTCCTTAGCTCAAAGTATAAAGGAACAATAAGAGAAGAAGAACACTTCGACGGAAGGGCGACTGAAAAAAACTAAAAAAAAACGTTAACTGATTATTACATTTTATTTCAGTTTAATATGAATTTTGATTTTAATCTCAGAATTCTGACTTTAATCTCAGAATTCTGACTTTTTTCTCAGAATTCTGACTGAATTCTGAAAATAAAAAAATAAATAAAAATAAAAAAATGTTCCCATAATAAACTGAAATAAAATTAAAAAATCAGTTAACTTTTTTTTTTTTTCCAGTGGCCCTAATCCTCTTCCCTACACTTCAGATGAGTTCATTTTGCATTAAATTTTTTTAATGTGATTTGAACTCTATTTATGTAATATGGTGCTGGCATGTTGTGCAACAAACACCTACATGCCTCTTTCTGGTTGAATCTGGACAATCTTATACTAACAAAAAAACCCCACAATTATTTGGAATTATTACAGGTTAAAAGAAACAGTAGAAAAACTATGACTAGTTGAACATGTTGGGCTAAATATATTGTTATTTTCCTGTTAAATTAAAAATTGCAGTTTGGGCTACATTAAAAACTGCATTATATTTAAAAATAGTGTATTCTTATGTTTTTCCCCCATGGAGGTCACCATTTTTTTCACCCTTGCAATGCATGCTGGGTTGATGTGCAGTTAGGCCTTACTGGACCGAAGCCTACAGAGTAAAACAGGAAGGCTAACATTAGCTGTGCAGTTTTTTATCGTACTACATTTGACTGGTGGAATTTGTGACGATGCTCCACTGCGTCGCTGCCTCAAAGTCTTAATAAACCGTCATACATGAGAAAAACAAACGCAGTAAACTACTGTTTACTATATTAGCTGGAGCTAAAACCATTAGCAGAGGCTAACATGAAATGGAAATAACATTGGGAGATAATGAATAACTGTTTAAATAGACAGAGACTTGTCTGTAACTCACTATAAAACATAATTCTACCTGTATATTTTCTTCCTTTTATTTCAGGTCAACCTGAAACGTTTTAAATGACTTATTGCTGCTTTTACTGGATGGAGCTAGCGCTACAGGTCCTAGCATTGGTCCTGGTGACATTTCTATCAAATAAAATTACAAAAAATATGTACAAATAAATAACAACAAAGCTTGATGAGAATCACAAGATAAAGCATTATACTGATGATACTTAGACCTATTTTCAGAAATACTTTTGCAATGCTAATAATATTTTTAACATATAATATGATGAATTTAAGGAAATATACTCTAACCAAATCTGCTTTTATGGTGTACGTATATGATCCAGGGTATATCCTTTCTTCTGATTTAATCACTACATGGGTTCACTATAGGATTTAGGTCTAAAGACTGAAATGATAGTGAAAAAAGATTTGACAAAAGTAAAAACTGTGATTTGGACAATAGATTAGTATTGCACTGAAACACAAAATGATATGAATTTTATTAACAATGTCCCAAAATATCAGAGTTCATGAGTTTTCTAGGGAAACAGGCCCATAGCATCCCACCTCCTCCACCATAATATAAGAAATGGACAATATTCTCCATACAACTCAACTGGAAGATTTATTTAAAATGCACATTGTGTTGTGCTATATTATCTGCCTCTATTGTACATCACAACACTGAACCATAGCAAATGTTATATCCTGCTCATTCTTTGTGCATCATACTACAAAACTTTTATATTCAGTCATCAGTTATGATGAGTAAGAGCTGATCATCATCTGACCAGAGCCAGCTGTACTGGTAGCATAAAATCAAACTCCTCATGTTTATGTTTGTGATAAAAGCAAAGGAAGGATTTTGTTCCTGGCATGCTGAATGCAGATCTGACCATAGATATGAGCAAGTTCAGACAAGTAGTAGTTTTCTTCACTATAACTTGATGTTTGAGGATAAACATCTTTCCCTTACTAGCATAGCATGGATATTTAGGGTTTTTTCCCCCCAGTGTGCTACTGCAAGATAAAATGAATTTGATGCTGTGTGACGATGTAAACTTTGAGCAAAGTTTCTTATGTGCTTCTTTATGAATGGATGTTGTCCTGGTAATGATCTTAAATGTAGGAAAATTAATTCACAAAATGAGCAACATGTTGATGCTTCCCGGATGGTTTGTGTGTTTCCTAAGGATAAAGAGCCTCGTGGAATCATCCCCCTAGAGAACCTCAGCATCAGAGAGGTGGATGAGCCAAGAAAACCTGTAAGGAGATCCTCTCCGTCATTTCAGTTTGCACATTTCCTGTTGCCTAAATAAAAACATATTTCTCCTGTTTGTTTCCGTGAAATGCTGATTGCCGCTTATCGTTGCTTCCTAGAACTGCTTTGAGCTCTACAACCCCAGCCACAAAGGGCAGGTCATCAAGGCCTGCAAGACGGAGGCAGACGGGCGCGTTGTGGAGGGTAACCACGTAGTGTACAGGATATCGGCCCCCACCCAGGAGGAGAAGGAGGAATGGATCAAGTCCATCAAGTAAGACGAGGCCCATTGTTGTGGATCCATTTACACTCTGAGGGCTCTTAGCCAGCGCCGGGCTGCTCCCACATGAGACTTTCACATGTCTGACCTTCACACTGTGAGAAACCAACACTCACACAGACAGGAGTGTCATCAAAAAATGTATAACCCCCAACCACCACACACACACACACACAGGCTGCTGGCTAAATGTGAATCCACTTCTCACACTTCCACGTTGATAACACTTAGAGGTAATCCTGCTCTTTTGGAGAAGGTCACTTCCTTCTGATTTAAAAGGTAAACAGAAAAAAAACCCAAACAGACCTTCAGAAAAAGTGTCTTAGTGCATTCTGCAGAGTTTCAGTATTATTTATAACTCCCAGTGCCTTGCAAAGCATCCAAACCCCCTAATATGCATTTTCTTAAATGTCCACCACAGATTACACTGCGAAAAACATCTAGAAATAAGTAAAAAAAAAAAAAGTTAAATTGAGTGTATTTACCCTTAATTTTAGCAGATAAATAAGATACTTTGCCAATGGAATGAGTATTTTTACTCCTAAAATAAGATAATTAGATAATATGCTCTTGAAATAAGACAAGGCAATTGTTTTTTCTTATTTTAAATGTAAATTGTCTTGTTCTATTGGCTATATGTCATTTACCTCCTCAAATCAAGAAAAATGCACTTAATTTAAGCAAAAATGGCTCATTTAGATTTCCATTTTTTGCTGTGTACCAGATATTTAAGATGCAACAGAACTAACCCTTATTGTTCCACAGTGGAGACATTCAGGTTTACCAGCAGCAAAGTTAAAAGCTTATGGAAGCATGTAAAGATAAAAACAAGAATCAAATTAGAAAGTAAGGGCAAATTTACAATGTGCATAGTGCAGATATTAAAATGTGCTCACTGAGATTAAAGAGTAAGTAGCTGAGTAGTGGGATTTAACAACTGTTAGAAATCTACATCTATGTTAATTTGTTTAAAATAAAAGATTATTTAAACGTAATAAAAAAAAACAGGAGTGTATTCTTTCTGGGAGCATTAATGCCTATAAATCTTTGCTGCATTAAAACCAAATGAGCTTTTAGCTGCAGGAGCAGCCGGTTTACATGCATGCAAAGGTGCTGCGGTGCATTTCTAGTAGCTGGAGAAGAGCATTACGAGCGGTTACAGTGAGTATTTGTGGCACGTTACGCTTCACAAGCAGCTGACGCTTGAATTGGAAAATCTGAACTTTTGCTGCTCAAGGCGCCACAGCCTTCAGTCAGAGACAGTGGTGTCCTGGTAGGACATGCGGGCACCGATGCAGGGCGCAAGCTTGTCAAACTGGGCTCTGGTGAGACGAAAATAGCTTTTGAAGCGACCCTCATCAGCGCACAGCGCTTGGAGTAGGTAGTCAAATTCTGAACACCTCTGAAGTATCTAGTTTAGCTTCATTTTTTTAATTTATTCCACTCAATAAAATGTATCTAACCCCATGTATAAAAATGGTAAAAAATTATTTTAAAAAAGAAGAAAAAGGTAGGAATACAGACATTGTGCAGGGTTCTTAATGACGGTGTTCACCAGCTGAATTTAGTAAATAAAGCCACTCTTTAAATTTCATGCTCTATTGTACAAAATACCGGCAAAGGAACGAGGGCAGCTCCTCTCAACCCGCATTTACTGACACGCTTTGCTGATTCGCTAGACGTGTCTGCGACATCATATGGACAAGCACAAAAGATGAAGCAATATAAATGATGAAGCAGCAGAAGCTGCTCAAAGAGCGTTTGGTTTGAAAGCAGCAAAGCTGCTTGGAGGAGGGATCTGTGATAACCCTCCTTTGGCTACTTTAAATAGAGCTAACATTTACTAAAGTAGCTCTCAAACTCTATGCATGTGGGATAAGACATGATGTAGCTCACCACCTTCAGTGTGTGATTGAATGGCTGCACAACAAAGTGCATAACTAGAGCTGAGATAACTTCCTTTTGGGATCTATGTCTCTACCAGCTCTGCAAAGTTAAGGAATCCAATTAGTTCTGTTTGAAAAGTAGCTTCAACTTAGTCCAGTTAGATAGGAAATGTCTGAACACATCAATGTTCTCTTGATTGATTTGATTGAGGGATCGTTAAAAAAAATGCTTATTTAAACACAAAGCAATTTAGAAAATTAAAATGTATATGCATATACATATGTATACAACAAAAGAAATAAAGATGAACAGAATATAGTAAAAAAGAAATGTCTAAAAGGAGCAAAAAGCAGGAAACAGCTATTTAATCCCAGAATTGCTGTTCATTTACTGTTCCGTCTATTTATATATATTAATATATAATATTTATATATAATACATATAGATATCTATTGATTAATCGATCAAACAGTAAATTAACAGCAATAAATATATGTTAGATAGATAGATAGATAGATAGATAGATAGATAGATAGATAGATAGATAGATAGATAGATAGATAGATAGATAGATAGATAGATAGATAGATAGATAGATAGATAGATGCAAAAAACATGGAAATAGTTAAACAAATATTCTTTCAGTAATTTTCATCACTGTAAGTTTAATAATGACAATAATTACAACAATAAAACAGCTATAACCCAAACATAGATAGTAACAACTGTTATATAGGAGTAGAAAAACATGAATAATGTTCTTATCTGCATAAAAGAATAGTAAGGAATCAGTCGGTTGCAGGCCTGGAGATTGACCAGTGCGTTTCAAAACGTCATCATGTTTAGATCCAACCCACTGGTGTGAAAATAAATAAACCCAGACATAAATAGACGTCTTCCTGATCGAAAAACACAACAAAAATATGGTGATTTATGTTTTTTAACTGCTAAAAAAAAAGACATCAGAAATCTTTGTCATGTTGAAATCAAACACTCAACACTTTTTATGGTTTTACTCTTTTGTTTACGTATTATTTTCCTTTTTTATTTTATAACTTTGCACCAAGTTCTCTTGGTCCATTTACATAAAACTGCAAAAAGCTTCCATATAACGTCTTAAAATCTGATGCTGTGATTTAAGGCGGGGCTGTCCCAACTTCCTGTTTAGTGCTTGAAGCGCCACCTTGTGGTGCAATGAAAGGGGCCTTAATTGGAGTGAGATCTAAACTCAGCCTTTTTCTGTCATGTTATCAACATGCATAAACATTTCAGGCGATGCAAACATTTTTTCAAGAAAATGGTTCCAGCAGCTGCTCTGTTTTCAGGCAGAGTTATGATGATTCTGTGAATGGGACAGTGCTTTATTGATCAGCCCCAATGGCTCTCCTCCTGTCAGCTTCTCTGCTCCATACAGTATTCAATCAATATTAGGGCAGAAAATGATATTACTGCTTTCTATCATGCTCTAATGAGCTTATAGAGGCTCTTAGTACTGACAGATGTGCATCTGTTAAATGGGGGTGGCGTCATTTAGAGGAGTTCCTGAAATCTTGTTGGGAGGAGGCTGCTTCATGTTCAGAGAAAGAGAAGCTCGTTTTCTGTGTTTGGAACATTTAGATGTTTCCGATGACCCTCAGATATCCAGACATGCATCATGGTAGAGGTCGTCCTTGTCACTGTGGGAATAATAACCGTCAGACTGGACAGAGCTGTTCTGTCCCAGGCTGGGATTGACTGAGGTGGCAGACTGCTGCCCAGCAGTCAGCACATTCTTACACACATCAACTGTATCCATTAACACACAGCGTCCCAACCTGCTTTGTCTTCTATGCAGACGGCTTTTGTTTTCACCCATAGAGAGGAGGCTGCGACACGTCAGCCGCTAATTATTCAGCGTTTTCTTTCCATCTTCTGACTGTGAAGCGACGCTGTCAGTGTTCTAAAGGGGCTGATGTGGAGATGGATTAACACGTCACATGAAACTACCGCTGTTATCAGATTTATTTTAAAAGGCAACTAAAAAGCTCATAAATGAGGAGACTTTGTCTTTGTTTTACTGTTTGGGTTTCACTGCGCCCTCATGTCGGTCTTTGCAGCAAAACAAGAAGGTGTTTTCACCAAATAAAAACTAACTCTACACTGAACATCTATGCTTAACATGAGCTTCAGCTCGTCGTATATTAACCCCTGGAACCCTACGGACCCACCGGTGGGTCCAGCTGCTACGTGACCTCGTAATTTTAACAAACCCCCAGTATTGATGTAAAAAACACATTTGCCACAGTTTGGTGACATATCTGGATAACTGTGCCAAAATGGCCTCTCCGCCTAAGAAATTTCTCACTAATACCATTCTAAAATAAATATGATTCATCTGATTGAGCCCACATTTGGTATATTTTTACACAACATTTAGATTTGAAAGTCTGTACTACTTTTTTGTGCTATAAATAATATTTTGGTAGTGTTTTGCAATGTTTATTTCAAAGAAAATTTTGGCGAGGTTCAAAAAATGCAAAATATTTTGTATTTTGTCCCTAATATTTCAGGCAGGGTCAAAGCTACAATGGTGCTGACACCAGAAAACCATTCTATGACATCTTACCTTTACAGACGTACCAAAAGTTTCTTCTTAAATCTAATAGCTGTGAGGCTATAAGTGATTTACTTTTGTGTGTTTTTGTCAGGCAGAAATGTATTTATACGCCCTTAGGGTGTAAGATTTTAAACACATCAGGACATAGAAGGTTCACTTGCTTCTCTTGAGTTAATGATTATGATCTTTAAGAGCTTCCATAACTGCAGATGTTCTTTCATTGAGCCGATTTGGAGCCTTTTGTATCTTGAAACAAAAATAAGAAGTAAAGAGATCAGCACTCACCTCAGAGGGCTAATTCTGCCCTAATTATACCATTTAAACCAGGCTTACACTGTGAAATCTTTTTTTTTGCCCTTTTCGGGCCAACTTTCCAGTCGAGCGAGAATTTTTTCGATGGTGTCATGCCTCGTATAGTGTATAGGGGGTAAGGAGGAGCGACCAGCCTTAAATCAAACATGTTTGAAATTCAGTCGACCGTCGTGGGCAAATCTCTCAGTGGCCAAACAAGGATTCTTTTTCTTCTTCCTCTAAGATGTAAACACAGCAGCATGGCAGGGGTGCAATGAGTGAAATGGAGTTATTTCTGTAAAACTGTCAGACATTTGCTCAGGCATGTCTTTGTCCAAATACGTCGTCTTTTCTTTTAAGGGCTTTCAGCACAAAATTCCACAAATTTCCAAGGCAGCGCGTTTCACTCTAGTGAGCTTCATATTCCTCTTTTACTCGTTTGGCTTCCAGATAGACGAGTCAGAGTAGCGTTACTCACTGCGGAGCTGAGTCCGCCGTGGTTTTTAGACGTACAGTGTGAGCTCATAGATCGCATCAGAGTGTCGTGCTGAAAATGCATCGTGAGCTTTGAACTCACAATGTACAGTGTGAGCTGTAGCTGCGTGCAACGATTGAAAAAAATTGCCCATTGTATGCCAGGCTTTAAAGGCCATTGATCTGAGCTGAACCGACCCTGGTTTGTTTGTACTCACTGTCTCTGGCTGCAGAACGACTCTGACAATGTCAAGGAGGAGTCCCTTTTTTTTTCACAATTAATGAACTTTCTATGGGTGGAACAGATTAGATTAAACAAGAGTAATATTCCTTAAAAATGATGCTTACACTTCCAAGAGGGAACTCTAATGATTGACAAACGGTATCAATAAGAGTTGATCTAGATGTTATGTTTCTTCCTCAAACACCAGTCATCAAATGCAGGCGGATTCTGCCGCTTAAACCACAGTTGAAGGTTGTTTGCCTCAAGTGGCCAAAACCAGGAGGGAAAATTAGAGGTGGCTTGTAAAATGAATCAAAAATCTCTGAATAACTTTAGTTGAAAAGGGTACAAATGCAGCAAATAGACCTGATTGACTCGTTCTATAATTTAAAAAAAACAAGATTTTAATAACAAATCATTATAAAGAAGTAGCCCTTGTTTTATTTTTTTACTGTGTTTTATCAGAATGTTACAAGTTTGATTTATTGCAGATCAGGTAAAAAAAAAACCCAGCTTGAATTAATATATTTCCAAAAGAGTTCCTTTTCTCTGGAATTAAAGGACCAAGCCCAGCTCCTGAAAATCAGCAGACTCAACCATCAGATTTCCAGATTGGTCACTCCAGAGAACGCATCTGTTCTATAGTCCAGTGGCGCTGTGGTTTACATCACTGCCTCCGATGCTTTGCTTTGCACTTATGGAAGTTTTGCCTGGATGCAGCTGCTCCACCATGGAAACCCATTCAATGAGAGAGTATCTGAAGGCAGCATGAGGTGTGGAGGTGTGAAGTGATCTTTCATCCATGTTTTATGATTAAATAACCAAAAGGCCAAAAGCTGCTCTCAGAAATCTTTATCTTTCTGTGGATGTTGGTCTCTTACACAGGCGACATTTTCACTAGTGTTGCGCCGATGCCATTGTTTGGCCCCGATACCAGGCTGTGCAGTATCGGCCGATACCGGTACCATAATAATGTAAAATAATTGCCACCATGGCTTTGTCAAGCTGCTGCCTACCTTTGTGAAGCAGGAAAAAAATCTAATACAAAGTGAATCCAGTAGAACTTTTTATTGCCTACCAGGAGTGGGTGACAATAGTTGAATAAACTTATGGCTCTCAAAATGGTGTCGGTGCCCTATTTGTTGGTACTCGCTGATACCACCATTTTAGGGCAGTATCGGAGCCCCGTCCGATACTGGTATCAGTATCGGTGCAACACTAATTTTCAGCACTGGCTATGGAACAGCTGGTCTTCAAACACATCACAGGTAGACTTCTTGTGTGTCAAATAGCAGATCTGAGGGGATTATTCTGCCCGCTGTTCTGATCTGCTTCGTTGTAACTTTTCCTGATTAGGTCAGATTAGCCAATAATTTTTTATGACTTTGAGCCACAAACCCCCTCATGCTGAGGAATGGCTGAGATGTTCCTCCATGGGTTTCTCCAGATACTTTATGGTCACTCTGTAAAGCAGTTCATTTATCTTGCTGGTCACTTTAACCCTATAATGCCAAATGTATCATATTTGATACATACGGTTTCTGAAATGTTTTGCGTCTGACACCTTTTGCATAATTTAATGGTAAAAACTTTGCTCAGGGCAGAAGACTACACAAAAAATAATCTTGACTTATCGCATAGTAATAAATTATTAATATCAAAAATGTAATTCTGTTTTTTCTTTTTACATATTTTGTTAAAAGGGCAAATAAGGAATTCAAAGCAAAAAAAATTTATTTTATGTTTTGTTTTATTCTTGGATCGGGCTTTAAAGGGTTAAATGTGTGACCTGTCAGTAGGAGCCTGATCAGAGGTCGGGGCCGTTCTGTGGTCCAGGTAAGGGTCGACCTTCTGGAGCTCCTACAGCTGACTGTGTAACATTTGGTAGTGAGGAAATTTCATGCCTGAATTGGTTGCACAGGTGGCATCCTGTCAGCGTTCCATGCTGGAACTCACTGAGCACCTGACAGCGACCCCCTCCTTCACCAATGTTTGTAACAACAACCTGGGGGCTTGATTTTATACACCTGTGGCCACGGAAGTGTAGCCTCGTGAGACCGTCCTGATCTCGCGAGCTTTCAAGGTTTCACTCGCTAATCAGTCTGGAGACTCTCTGTTGAAGAAAATTTGGAGCCGTTCACCAAACGAACGTCCAATCAGCGTTGGCTTTGAGGTGGGTTGAGGTGTGACGCAACGAGAAGCGCAACAGTTCAATCTAACGAACATGGCGGCTTCAGCCGATGAAACTAGCGTTAGCGTGGCTATCGAGCAAGTTTTATCAGAATTACAGAGTATTTCTTCACTGAAAGAAGAGCAAAACACTGCTCTGGAGGCTTTTCTCAGAGGAAAAGATGTTTTTGCTCTTCTCCCGACTGGTTTGGGCAAGAGTAGCCTGGCTTGTGGTTGTGTTTTCGTCGTCGCTCTGTTAGTACGTCATATGCTTCGTTGATCTGATTGGTTTATTTGGCCCGTCTATCACCAACATAGGCCAATCAGCTAACCAGTATTTTCGCCCCTTCCCAAAATTACTTCAATGGAAGGTTTCCAGATGGATATGCGGAGCAAATCCATCTGGCGGAGTCAGGTTAACGGAAGTGACCCAATAATTTAACTCGATGAGCCAATATTTTTGGATATGGTTTATATTATGACTTTTTAGTATGTTCCTCCTTGCGATTTTGATCTTTGCAAAAGCATTGAAAACAAATGTTCTTTTTACTGTTGCAAAGAACATTTTTCATAAATGAAAATGAATAAAAATGCAATCCAGCAATGAATCTTAAAAAAAAAACTAAATAAAAGGTTTTAAGAAACTTTGCTGTTTCTCTGATCTTTTTTTGTAAGTTTTTTTATACATTTCGAAATAACTTTACATATTTCATATTTTAAAATTCTATTTCTTTTAATTCATCTTTTTTCAGATAGACCTAGATGAGTTTTGTTTTTTCAAATTGTGTTTCCCAGATCAAATTCTCCTTATTGCAAAATCAATATCTGGTATTAATATTTCTCTTATAGCCAATAATCAATATTTACCAATATTATATATATTCCTCTACCCTTTGGATGCCATTAAAGACCAACCACTGTGCTGACATGCTTCTCTGCTGCTGTTACACACCCATAATCCTTTGCGATGATGCTAAACAAAGGAGCAAAGCTGCAATGGGATGGCTGGAAAAGAAAAGAATCAAAGTCCAGTTGAACGTTTTTAGATGGTCCCACTGAGCTGTGAAAAAGCAAAAGTCTACAAACTGGTAAAGACTTAAAGGTCAGCCTAACTAAGAAACCTCGAGTGCCACAAAGACCATTAGAGACACCTAGAATTCAATCCTTCACGATTGATGCTTCCAGACGTCATTTCAAATTAATTTAATCTCTTAAGACATTATGGCTTGGTGGAAACGGTACTGTGCTTTCACATATTTGAGGTTATATTAAAATAATTTTAAAACTGGAATAAAGATCAGATCTTTCTTTGTGCTGCCGCTGCTTTTTTCTAATAAAACACATTTATGAATATTTCCACAGTGTATTTAACCTTCCAACTCCTTAAGTAACTTGTTTCACATTTATTCCCACGTTTAATGAGACAACTATCAATATTTAAATATATCTTTTAAAACCAACAAGTGACTCAAGGTTCTGCAGGTTAAAGAGGGTAAAAATGACATGTTGTTGATTCACAGAAGCTGCTGGGTGGCATTTTCTCCCTTTCAACCAAAATGCAGAGCAGACACCAAGCAGGAAGCACATTTGCTGACGGACTCAAACACATTGACCGCGCTGACAAAATGACCTTCATAGTGAACATTTGGATGCTGTCTTTAATCTGTGTTTTCCTGTTTCCTTTCACAGGGCGAGCATCAGCAGGGATCCTTTCTACGACATGCTGGCCACCAGGAAGAGAAGGATAGCCAATAAGAAATGATGACTGCCTGCCCTTGTGTCCATTTCTGTTTTTATCACTGAAGTCATGAAGGTCTCCCATCCGTTGATGTCAGGGATGAGGGACAAGCAGGTACAAAGGGATCATTTCTGGACCAACGATGCCAGAATCTCAAGGCTGTTCTGATGTGAAACTGAAGAAGAGGGAAGATTGAAAGACTTCTAATGAAGCACAGTCAAAGAAGACACAACTGCGACTGTCAAAAGGGAGCCTTTTCTGTAATGCTTGGGAGAGACTGCCCCCTGCTGGGCATTTAAGGAATGGGAACTAGTCACCATATACAGTGCCTTGCAAAATTTCCCCATTTATCTTTTCCACATTTTGTCACTTCATTTTATTTCAACTGGATTTTATGTGATAGACCAACACAAAGTAGTGCATTATCTTTAAGCAATGATATTTCTGTTTGTTTATTATTTTATTTGCTGATTAAAAATCAGTAAAATGAAGCATGAGTTGAATCAAGGATAGAGTAAATGCTTTGGAGATCTATACCAGCTTTTCAACTTTAAAATCTGAATTTTCTGCCTATTCTGGAGTTGAAACTCAGTCAGTTCAGGTGGAAAACTTTTCTGAGCACAATTTTAGCTCCGACTTTATATTCAGGGTTATTCTCCTGCAGCATTAACGTTTACCTTTCCTTTACCCAACAAATGATGCACCGTTTAGTGTTGGACTACCTCGTACAATCGCGCCGAAGCAGACTGATTTTTCTGGTGAAAAATTGTGAAAAAGTTCCAGAGCTTTGATTTATTTTTTTTGCAAGACACTGTAAACCCACAGAAACTCTGACGGCAGCTTTCCTGTCATCTTTTCCTTCATCTGCCGACGTGTTACAATATTTTATAGCAACTTCTGAAAGCCTCACGTTTATCAGTCAGCTGGTCTGGTTGGTAGCTTTCAAATGACCGAATTATGCAATCGTTCTGATTTATTCTGTAAATGAATTCACACACCTAAATTATAAAACGCGCAGGTATTTAATATCCGACTGCCAATGGAGAAATGAATGAGGGCTGAAGAGCTTAGTGTATAGAGTGTAATAATGACACATTTTAGACTGACTGTGCTTTTAAAAAGTTCTAATTCAGTTTGTTAATCATCTCTAAAGATTTTGTGTCCAAAAATCCATCTTTTTAATTTCAACTCTTTTGTATTTATTTTCTCCTCCTTCCAGTTAGCTTGTAGTAAATTGTGTACAGGTGGTTTTCTTTATGTTCATGCAGTGTTTATCCATTTGGCTACAATACAGCAAGAGAGGCGTTTTGTTTCTCCTGGTGTTGAAAAGAAGCCTCCTTATTCCTGTGGTTGATGAGGACGTAATACACATACAGGATTAAAGAAATAATGTCTTGTGAACATTCAGAAGGTCAATCAGAGTCTCTCAGTTTAACCAGCAGCTGGTGAACAGGTTACGTTTGTCATTGTTGTGCGTTTCTTTGGGGAAACATCCTTTAAAAATACTTTGATGTTAAATCTAAATAAAAAAATCATACTCCTTACAGGTATGTATTTTTTTATTTTATTTTGTTTTTTTTGCAAAACCAATGAGAAATCCTGATGCAGGGTTTAACCCAAAATAAAAGGCTATGGCTGGGTGAAACATGAAATGTTTTTTATTACGATATGTTTTTCTTTTCCTACTCTGATTATAAAAAGTAAATGCTGAATCAAAGCTTTTACCCAAATGTCATATTGGCTCATTTTCTTTCAAACGGCCGCAGATAAACAAAGGCTGGAAAAATAACCCTCTGACATACAAACAAATATATCATTATGTAGACCAGCTTTATATAAAGTACAAAGTCTCGTATCTCTTTGAAAAAATCTTTTTAAGATCTTGATGTTTATCACAGCCATAGAAATGACTTGTATATTGGTGAGGAAATAGGTGTAGTGTATGTTTAATTACCGCTGTAACCACAGATTTTGGTTAAGGTCTCACAATACGGCCGGTAATCCATCCTTTTCAGGGGTTACAGGCTCCACAGACCTTATAGCAGCCGCATCAAGGCAGGAATCATTGTCCACACTGTTAGGTTCGTAAAAGAAGGACTGAATACACACAGAAAGGGACTTTCAACAGCTTCCTGCAGGAGGGGAGAGACGCAACCCAACACACTACCTTCTCTCGGCCCCCCCTCCATCTGCAGTGCCTTTTATTAACAGAACATAACACATGGTTACAAAACAGAGTATTGTTCTGACAGGACAACTGATCAGGTCATAAGACAGGATGCTCCACTAACTGAATCACAAGGCAGGGTGAAGCATCTCCTTGCTCCAATGTTTCATAAGCACACACACATTTATTTTATAATCATCATTAAATAAACCTAACACACACAGTCGCTGAGTCCTCAGCCTCTGCCTGAGTCTAAGAAAAGCTAAAATCAGATTCTTATTGGATGCAAAGGGGTTAAAAGCTCTTGTTAAAAGTGAACTGTAAAGTCTGCAAAAAGGGTATTTGAAAAACATTTAGTAATTTAGTTGGTGGAGAAACTAAAATGTCAAATTTAGGGAATGATAAAAAAGGAATGGATTTATAAAAGAATATGGTTATTCATGTAACTGCTCTGATGGAAGAGGAGAGCAAATATGTTAGTGCAGAAATTTGTTCAAATTCACAACTCACATAATCTGACGAAGAGAAAGGAGAGCGAGAATCTACAATCAATGGAAACAAGAAAATATAAATAACAATTATTGAATGTTCCTTTTTCTTTGGCTGAGGAATGCTCTGAGGAACTTAAAAACACGATCTGGAAAGAAGGAAGACAGTTGTTCCAACTCTAGAATCAAACAAAAGACATCTGCTGATTTTACCAGCACATTTAACTTCTCATCTATGTAAAGAGATGAAAAGGATCATAAATAAACCACTGACTCATTTTATAGAGAAGAAAGAATATCAGAACGCCACAGGTCAATGAGGAGAGTGTTGTAGCTGTATTTGGATATTGAAAAAGTTTATGAGACGATGCTGGAGGGAAGGCTTTTGATTAAATTAAGAAGATGCAAATCAATGGTTTAATATTCAGCTGGATAAAAGATTTTCTGCATAACCGATCGATACATCTAAGAAAAGGAAAATATTAACAGAAAATGTTTGTGTTAAAAATGGTATTATCCCACGAAGTATAATCATTCTGGTGCTTTTTTCACAATGATACATGTAGTGAATAAAAACTGGAAAAGGGAATCTGCTGTTTTTCTTTTTGCTGGGGATAGATCTAAAAGATGGGTAAAAATATAAACTTCATCGAATATTTTCCTGCTTTTATTGCTATGCTTATTTTTGGTTCCTATCTTGCTGCTGTGCTGTAATCTCTCCGCTTGGGAGCAATGCAGTAAATCTAATCCAATTAATGAAACTGGAAATTGGTCCCATGGGGATTTGAGATATCTATAAATTAAAGGTTTTGAGTTTTTGGGCATATGAGGAAAAGGCTCAGCTGGAAAGTAAATGGACAGAAAATAACTGATAAATGCAAAAAGAGATATTAAGGTTATAAAGCATTTGGTTGGGAATGAGGGGGAGGTGAGCAGAAAGGATGGAAGTCAACATATTCAGGTTTATGTTTCACTGAGATTGTATCACGCTTTAGTTTAGCTCCATTTTCATTACTCTAAACTTTGGATATTAGTCAGTAAAAAGCAATAACATTATGTGCCTTTAGAACAATACCCACTTCAATAACTGAAATGCCTCTACAGCTAAAGAGAAAACAGTTTTAGGTAATAAATCCAAGTGAAAATCCTTCATATAAAGAGATTTTAAAACCAAGTTGGGAAAAGAAAGATAGAAATTAAATTAATTTGGCTGGACAGCAGATAAACGTATGAAGGACTCAGAATTCTTAAATACAGGTCCTTCTCAAAATATTAGCTCACTGTGATAAAGTTCATTTTTTTCCATAATGTAATGATGAAACTTGAACATTCATATATTTTAGATTCATTCCACACTAACTGAAATATTTCAGCTCTTTTATTGTCTTAATACGGATGATTTTGGCATATAGCTCATGAAAACCCCAAATTCCTATCTCACAAAATTAGCATATTTCATCCGACCAATAAAAGAAAAGTGTTCCTAATACAAATAAAGTCAACCTTCAAATAATTCTGTACAGTTATGAACTCAATACTTGGTGGAGAATCCTTTTGTAGAAATGACTGCTTCAATGCGGCGTGGCATGGAGGCAATCAGCCTGTGGCTCCGCTGAGGTGTCATGGAGGCCCAGGATGCTTCCATAGCGTTTAGCCTTTAGCTCATCCACAGTGTTTGGTCTTGCCTCTCTCAACTTTCTCTTCACAATATCCAACAGATTCTCTATGGGGTTCAGGTCAGGAGAGTTGGCAGGCCAATTGAGCACAGTGATACCATGGTGAGTAAACCATCTACCAGTGGTTTTGGCTCTGTGAGCAGGTGCCAGGTCATGCAGAAAAAAGGAAATCTTCATCTCCATAAAGCTTTTCATCAGATGGAAGCATAAAGTTCTCCAAAATCCCCTGTTAGCTAGCAGCACTATGCCCTTGATAAAACACAGTGGACCAACACCAGCAGCTGACATGGCGCCCCAGACCATCACTGACTGTGGCTACTTGACACTGGAGTTCTGGCATTTCCTTCTCCCCAGTCTTCCTCCAGACTCTGGCAGCTTGATTTCCAAATGACGTGCAGAACTGAGCAACAGTCCAGTGCTGCTTCTCTGTAGTCCAGGTCAGGCGCCTCTGCTGCTGTTTCTGGTTCATAAGTGGTTTGACCTGGGGAATGCAGCACCTGTAGCCCATCTCCTGCACACGCCTGTACACGGCGGCTCTGGATGTTTCTACTCCAGACTCAGTCCACTGCTTCCGCAGGTCCCCCAAGGTCTGGAATCGGCCCTTCTCCACAATCTTCCTCAGGGTCTGCTCACCTCTTCTCGCTGTGCAGCGTTTTCTGCCACTTTTTCCTTCCCACAGACGTCCCACTGAGGTGCCTTGATGCAGCACTCTGGGAACAGCCTATTAGTTCAGAAACATCTTTCTGTGTCATAGCCTCTTGCTTGAGGGTGTCAATGATGGCATTCTGGACAGCAGTCAGGTCGGCAGTCTGACCCATGATTGGGGTTCTGAGTGATGAACCAGGCTGGGAGTTTTAAAGGCCTCAGGAATCTTTTGCAGATGTTTAAAGTTAATTTGTGGATTCAGATGATTATGTGCATAGTTCCTTTAGAGACCTTTTTCATGATATGCTAATTTTGTGAGATAGGAATTTGGGGTTTTCATGAGCTGTCTGCCAAAATTATCCGTATTAAGACAATAAAATACCTGAAATATTTAACTTAGTGTTCAATGAATCTAAAATATATGAACGTTCAAGTTTCATCATTACATTATGGAAAATAATGAACTTTATCACAATATGCTGATGTTTTGAAAAGGACCTGTATATTTCATTAAAACAGATCTTTGATAATCATTTAATCTATCTCTGTTATCTGACGGTGATACAGATCTAAGTTTCTTAAACAGAAAAATAAGGAGAATATTTCTGATCCAAGGATGGTTCTGCAATATTTAGATAATAAATACTATACATACATTCACGATTATATGGATGCTTCTAAAGATTCAAATAAAGGAATGGTGTTTTGTTCATTGTTCCAGAATTTAATTCAGGATAATGTTTGGACTGCCAAGGAGAATATGGAAACGTGTTCAATGCTAGCTGAAAATAAACCTTAAGGTAATTTTCCATACTTACTTCATGTTTGTTCTCAACAAACAATAGTCTAATATGTGTTGTTTTACACAAAGAAAATACAATAGGTGAAGCAAATAAAAGGGTTGAATGTAACAGGGAATCCAGCAAATTCACTGTCTCCATGCAATCAGCTGGGTTTGCTTTTAGAGAAAACTTTAACCAATCTAAATTTAGATCTGACTGAATCGTTTCTGCAAAGATTATTGAGATGAAATGTTATAAATTAGCACTTTATAAATAAAATGAATTGAATTTTAAATCTGGTAAAATAATCAGTGAACATAGGACAATGTTTGGAATCCTCTTGGCTTTGGAATGGATGGATTCTAGTCCATCGTTAAATTAGATTATATTCAGACAGCAAACCAGATGTCTTATTAGAAATATAACAGCTGCTGTACAAAAACCTAATCAATGCAATACTTAGACTTAGACAACTTTTATTGTCATTTTGTAAACACATAGTGCATACAAAACAAAATTTCGTTATTATTAGGTTTTTACTTCGACCTAAATCAGTAAAATTCGTGTAATAGTAACATTTGGTAGTACTTAAATCAGTAGCTAAGCTATATGATGGCAGGAACAGTGGGAAGTGGAGAAAATTAGACAATATTTAAAGAAAAGTTTACACTGTAAGAAAAACATCAAGAAATAGAAGACCTGAAGTGTTCATATCTAGGTCATCCTTTGGTCAAACAGGATTAACTACCAGGTTACTTAATAAGGTAAACATGTATTGGTTAAATG